AACAGTATTTTCAATGCCATCCTCTGTGTGTTGTGAAAACTTACCTGTTGCGAAATATCATGCATAAACTCGAACTCTCGGGACGATTGGCCAAATGGAGCATGGAAATCAGCGGGTACGATATTGAATATCGACCCCGGACAGCCATTACGTCTCAAATTTTGGCAGATTCGTGGCCGACTTTACGCCGGCCCTAATACCCGAGGTCAAAAAAGAGTTGTTGGTTAATTTGGGGACGTCTTCGAGAATTTAGACCCTGATTCGGCGCTGTTGAGCTTCATTGAACAAGCAGAGCGCTTCTACCTCTTTCATTTTAGCTTGGTCCTCTTCGGTCACCAAGCATTGAAGGTAACTAGCAATCCCCACCGGGGTAGAAAGAACCCGGGCATCCTCCGGAATGGACATAAAAATTGCCCGTCTCTGAGTAGGATCAACACTTAGAGCTGGGAACTGATCCACTAATTTTGGGCTTGAAGAAGACCCACCAGCTCTTGGGGACGGTGTCTTTTTTGGTACCGTAAGTCACCCAATCCGGTGACATCCTCCGAGGCGGTAGAATCCAGACCATCGAAGAAGTTGTGGAGAGAGTCTGCTGCTCCTTGGGCCCCTTCGCCGAGGTTACCTTTCAGTGTCTAGGCCTCGTTTATCATAGAATCGGTAAACAAAGGCGACCTAGAGAGATCGATCAATCCAAGCGCCTCCTTAGGCACATTATCGTCTGACCGAGAAGTACCGGCCATAGTCTCTTTGTCAACCTCCCCAGCTCGGAGCGAAACGGTCTCGACCCTCCCTGGTTCGGAGGCTTCGGTCGCTGCTTCTTCTACGGCCTCCAAGGCTTGAGGCAGTTCAGAACCTTTTCTCACAAGGGCCACCAGATTAGAATCTTCTTCTTCTTCTTCTTCTTCTTCTTTGGACTCATCTCTCAACCGATGTACCAAGTCCGATGGGAGTACTCGGGCGTTGGCATCTTTAAGTTTGCGCGCCAGCCGCTTCCTCAGTCTCTTCTTTTTAGGGCTCGAGGGACTCAGAGCTTTTCTTCTTTTCTTCTCTCTATCCTGCTTCAGAGCAGGGGGATCAGCGTATATGTCGTCATCAGCTGATGGAGGCCTCATTTCGACAACTTTTGGTAAACCTGCAAAAAGAAAGTACAACAATTCAGAGATCGGTGGAGTGAAATTAAGATCAAATATGTTATTAAGGAAACATTCTCACCATGATTATGGGCCTCCCATCGGCCCTTCGAGAGCTCACGCCATAATCGCTCGGAGTAAGGTCTTTGTGTTGCAATATCCTCGACCCACTCCTTGAGTCGAGGGACAGCATTCGGCATATGGGCAACAACTGCATCATCACATAACATCTATGAGAAGGGAGAGAAAATAAAAGCAATAAAAGAAACCTTGAAGGCGAAATTATACTTACGTTTCATATTCCATTTCTCAAGAAATGGCATGTCCGCAACTGGGATTAAGTCCGAGGTCCTCACTCGAACGAATCGACCCAACCAGCCCCAGTCCCGATCCTCGTCGATGCTCGAGAATAAGGCCTTAGTGGCTCGACGTGCGAGCTTAATTAACCCCCCTCGGTAAAGTCGAGGGCTATACAGGCGCATGAGGTGGTCGATGGTAAATGGACACCCCTCAACCTTGCTCACAACGAAACGAAACAGAATAATGATCCTCCAAAATGAAGAAAGAATTTTCCCAAGCGTCACCTCATACCTTTTGCAAAAGGCTATGATAACTAGGTCTAAAGGACCCAACGTGAAGGGGTAAGTGTAAACACTTAAAAAACTCTCCACGTGGGTGGTGATCGATTCCTCGGGGGTAGGGACCACTACGAGTTTATCCACCCAGTTGCAGTCCTCTTTGACCTTATCGAGGACACTGGCAGTAATCGTACATAAGTACCTCGAGACCGGCTCGCACCGACCCGGTGCCATGGTGGTCTTCTCAACCTTGAAGTCAGCCCCGGCCGGGCACCCCACAGGGACGTACAACTTCAGAGAGAGTTCTGGTAGCGATTCCTCAATAGCAGCAGGCGGAACGTTCTCAGATGGTTTCGAGGAAGAAGGTTTTTCCTTTTAAGGAACGGATTTTGAAGTCTTTGCCATTTTTATAAACAGTAGAGAAAAGAAAGTGTTGGTAAAGGAAGAGGCGAGCTTAGCAGATAACTTATGTAAATTTTCAAAGAACTAGAAAAGAAGAAGTTTTGAGGCTAAGCTGGAAAACCAGAAGATGAAGGTGATGAAGCTTTCTTAAGAACACAAGAAGAGTTTGAAGGTAAAGGTTCTAATGAATGGGTTGAACGATATTTATAGTTTTCTCAAAGTAGCGGTTCGCATCTCGAAGTGGCCGACCGTTAACTGACACACATTTAATGCCTTGAAGACTGGACCAATAGGATGTTTCAGTTACCTTTTGTCGCTTACGTCATGATTTATCGAGGTAAAAACCGAGGACTCATATCGTTTCTCGTCGCTTACTCTCCAAAAAATGAGGGGACTATCTGTATACGGGTAAAACCGAGCTCGATGCTCGATTGAGCATCTGAAACGGTAGGATAGGGTCGACACACTATGATTGGGTAGAAATCAAAGTTACGGGTGAAATCGAGCTCGTTGTTTAAATTCGATTTGATGTCCATCATGGTTAGCCAAAATCGGAATATGATACTATCGGACTCAAAAGCATCGTCAAAACCAGCCATCGAGATCATCAGATTTGCCCTCGAGTTTATCGAAGGCATAACCGGTCCTGTTTCTAACGGCCTTGAAGAAAGGCTTTGCCAACTCATCCGACAGGGGTCCGTAATTCTCGCCATTAACTAATCATTATGGAAGAAATCACGGAATTAGTCAAAAAAGGAGCCAACGATCTTCAAAATCAAGGACTCATGTTTCTTATAAAATAATTTCTTAAAAGGTAGATCTCCCTCAATATATAGAGGGGACTGAGTAATTCATAAGGACACATTGTAACATATATCAAAGAGCAATATACTGTTATTTCTAACTTTGTCACAATTCATTTTACTTTGGCATTCACAATAACATTTCTAGCTAAAGGGAGATTAGCCTCACAAGGCTAAAGATTGCTCAATTTGCATAGGTTGCATTTATCTTTCTATTGTTTACTTCCACGTTAATCTGATTTCTCACTTTGTATCAAGTTATATTATGTATCCTTCAAATCGCGTATAAATTCAATTGTTATCCAATTTTGAGGGTAAACAAGTTGCCAATGAAATTGTTCTGTAATAGTAAAGCTACAATTCAAATTGCAACAAACTCTATATATGAAGAAAGAACCAAGCACATAAAGATCGATTGTCATTTTGTTAGGGGAAGATACAAGAGGGTTTGATTCGAACACGTCATATTTCCACAGATATGCAGTTGGCAGATATCCTTACCAAAGAATCGGGGAAGACACAACATGACTTCTTGTTGTCCAAGCTGGGACTGCTCAACCCCTTCTACTACACAGCTTGAGGGGGAGTGATAACAGCAATGATGATGTAGCAATCCGTTAGTGCAGTTAGTTACTTGTATAGAGCAGTTAGAATGTTAATTATAAAATTAGCTAGTTGGTAGTTAGTGACATTATGGACAACTGTATATAACAGAGCATTGACAACTCATTTATAATATAACGAAGATATTTTCCAATTCTCTCTATCCTTCTCTGATTCCTCTTGATTCTTGCATCTCGAAGCTTCCATGGCTTCCACTTAACAGTATGCTCCACTTTCAGCTTTGGGGGGAAAGAATCCATTGGCCCCAGCAGCATCTTTTAACCTTGTCCAATATATGGAAGACATTAGCTGGTGAATGGCCTCCAGAAAAGCTTGTGCATGTTGTGGAGAAACTTCAATATCGTACTCATGGTCAAGATGGAGTAGCAATTCGTGTTTTTGGATCTTTTATAGTTGGGAACCAATTCCTCATATGTGGAGATGGTATGCAAGTTGTGGGTCTGTCAAATTTATAAGCTCTCTCTATTTATATACCCAGCAAACGGATGGGGACCTTTCAGGAGCAATTTATTGTAGAGAAGGCGAACATCATTGGCCATTATTTCATAACTAAGCAAGAAATTTTCATAGAACTCTTCCTGCAAAACTCTTAAGATCGTGGAGGTGTAGTTCACTGTTCCTGTAAATGGAATAATGAGTTGAGAATCACGACGCCTACGTAAAACACACCAATTAGAATATGGGTTTTCACTATTAAAAAAAAATCATAATGCTTCAAATTAGGTCCTCTTTTTTATTCTTTCTAGTAGCCACCTCTTTTTACCTAATATTACTCTTTTTTATTTTTGTTTTAGCCTTCTTTTTGCTGAATTTTGTTTTACCCGCTCCCCTTTTTTTAATTTTTTTATTTTATTTTGCCTCATTCTCTATAGCAAGAGAAAAAAGAAACTCCAAAGTTGGATCCTTACTGACGACGAAAATTCACCTCGCCAGTTGTGTTTTTCATCATAGATTTACAGCATCGATAATATTAATATGAATTTTCCCATTAACTTTTTTTATCGCCATGTTCAATTAGTTGTACACTTATACATGCTGTTAGTTGTAAAAACGTCGAAAGATCTAAGCCCTCGCCAACCCAAAATCCTGAATACTGGTTAAAGGTATGTGTATGAAATGATGCTTTCCCGTACAGCTGAATATTGTTAAGTAATCTTGCTATCCTTTAGTGAATGTCCTCTCAATATATATATATATATATATATATATATATATATATATATATATATATATATAGCGTTGCGTTGAAAATGTAATCGCCGGAATATGTGTTTGGTGCAGTATGTCTCATACTTTAAAAAAATCGATAAATAACCAAAAAAAAAAACCAAAAAACCGACCAAACACAATATAAGCCGAAGCTATAAAAAACCGACTTAATTAGTTTGATTTGGTTTTAATATTTGAAAAACCCACTTATTTGGTTTGGTTTCTTTTTAGAGAAACCGATCCAAACTGAACCATCAGCGAAGCCATCAGCGATGACACAGTGGCATTCATAGCTAAAACTGAATCTTGCAAAAGGAAAATTTGATGAACATGCTTTACAGGTGTTAGTTAATTCTAAATTTGCTATCCAAGTCTCCCCAGAGATCATAATAATGAAATTATCTTGGAGGACTAAGTAGGTTTAGAACCCAGAGTTGGCTAATTCACAAAGCTAGAATAGGGTGAACTGATTTGCAGTATGAATCACAACTCTAATCGTCTGAATTCTGTGCCTGCAATCAAGGAATACTGCTTTTTCATCGACACAAAATTAACTTTTCAACCTGTTTAGCATTCACCCACCTAGAGTCATTTGACCTGTGCTTCGCCAAATCCACTCTTGAGGCTTTCACCATTGATGGTCGTGAAATCCAACAAAATTGACACATTTACCTTTGCTTGTGATCGAGCAGATGCTTTTCAGTTTCCAATCACAAACTACTGATGTAAATAGGGTTGCGTCATGTCATAAGGACCGTGTGAACCATAAGACATAGCTCCTTGACCATATTGGGTTGCATCAGCACTGACTTGAACCTGAAACATTACAGGGTTATTACAAATAGGACAGTGGTATTATAGCTCATTTAAAGTTTTCGCAAAGCTTAAGTTGCAATTACATGGCAACTTGCATGTGCTACTTTGTCCTCTTTGTAGGTTAGCAAGGGAAGTGCCTTGGATCAAAAGGGTGGAACCAACTAAATAATAGTTCCATCTAGTGGATTGGGATCCCATCCAGTAAAGTTTGCTTTAGTATTCTTCAATAGGGTGCTAATTTTTTGACATGTGTCCTCTTCACTAATCAATGGACAAGATCTCTTTAACTAAAAAAAACTAGTTTTACCATGGTTCTTTTTCTCCTTTCTCATGGCTAACGTCCCAAAGTCTCTCAGATATTCTTCTTTAACCCTTTTCAAACAGCCATCCTTGTTAATCCTTCGTCTTCTTCCTTTTTCTGTGGCCCTTTCATTGAAGAAAGAAACTTCTTTTTTTTCCTTCGTTGGCTTTTACTACTAGTATTTGTTTAACAGAATTGTAAACAGAAAATCAACATCAAGTAAAATCAGAAACGTCTTCCTCAAAAGTGGTGCAGATTGGAATGTAGATTGTAGAGTCTCCAACGAAATCAATTGCTAAATGTGGTTCCATGGAGAGTCGACTTGGAAATAACAATGAAAGACATGTTATTTGACAATTCTATTGGCAACACAGGAGAGTGCATCTACAATAAGAATTTGCTTCCAAATTAAAATTATTAAAGTAATATAATTATCCTTCTAGATTCTACAAAAAGGCTTTTAAAGTGACGATTTGGAAGGTCTGCAATTAGCTTTGCCTTTTATTTTTGGGTAATTAGAAGAATTTTATTTACCAAGTAATATTTACAAAGCATTCATAAAAAACAGCACATCCTTGACAGCCTCGGGTATTCAAACTTCATTCTAGTAAGCTCTAAACACTACACATGCAAAGAACGATGTCCTGAAAGGGTTTCTGGCGATTAAAGTAGGGCAAGCAGAAGAAGAGCAACAGAGATCTGTTATCTCTGTTTCAAGCAGAAGAGAAATATAACCATGGTTAAACTAGTTTTTTAATTAAAGAGATCTTGTCCATTGATTAGTTAGGAGGACACGTGTCAAAAAATTAGCACCCTATTGCAGAATACTGGAGCAAACTTTACTGGATGGGATCCCAACCCCAATCTAGTAGCCTATAAATTAGGAAATTCTCTACCAATTTTCACTTCTCCAGAGTGCGAAAGGTAAGCATGATATCATTATAAACATAGACGTCCACATCCACAGGATATGACGAGAACAAGCAATGATTTATTTTTTATTTTTTATTTTTTCTCAAAGCAACTATCACGAGTCAATAAGAATCATGAAAACTTTCCTCACGTAAAATCTTTTATGATGATCTGATTAACTGAGTTTTTCTAGATAAAGGATGATCTAACTACCTGATGCAAACTAGTGATATGAAGAAAAAGGACAAGAAGCCAAAAAAATAAAAGGCAAACAATTTTCATCAAGCAAACAATAATATATAGGAGCAATATATAAAGAATCCTTGGGAGCTTTTGCTTTTTGATGATAAAAGAAATTGTTTTTTTTTCTTCCCAAAGTGCATTCTTGTATTAGAACTTGGAAAACTTTCCTATCATTTCCCCAGAAATCATCTCCAGCATCGCCATCTTGACTTACACCTTCATCTACCAGGAAGCATATAAGCTAGCCTATCATATCTTGACAGTCCAATAGAAAAAAATAAAAAATGAAAAATGAGAGAGGAAAGAGGATATCATTGAATCCAGATGGAAAAAGCATAGAGTTTTAAAGTGAACAAGAAGGGAAATTCACTTATTCTGCCTATGCTAATTTAGCTCACGGCCAGGCAAAGGGCAAAGAGGAAGTTTACATGACAACATAGATTTAAACTGTTTGAAACATTAAAGGACAAGAAGGATCGGTCAACAATATGCAAACAGCAAATCTTAAGAGATCATCACATGTAGCATTCCATCTCATTTGCCACCCTAATAGATTTTTTATTAAGTTCTTTATGCAAAATTGTTACGGAAATCATAAAAACCAAAAGTCAAGAGAAGGTATAACCATTTGAAAATGTAATGCATATGCAATTACAAACCTGATGTACAGCATAAGGAGCAGGGTACAAAGTCCCTCCATAACCTGTTTCAGGATTTCCATAATTGGCAGAATACGTAAAACCTGGAAGGATAAATTCAAAATTCTATCTTAATTAGCTGAATGTACTATGAAGTAGATAATAATGATAAGCTCTACAGCAGGTGGAAACTGGTGGGTTTGTTTTCCACCAGGTGGAAACTGGTGGTTTGACTTACTTGGATTCGCTGCAGCAAACTGGTGGTTTGAATTACTTGGAGCCGCTGCTGCAGCAGCTGCGGCTGCTGCTCTTGCCCTCTTCTCTGCATTTGCAAGCTCAGCATGTAGGCTTTCAATTTCAGCAGTCATAGTAATCTTATGCTTCTCCATAGCTTGATTATATTCAAGGTTACTGGCATGCATCTTTTTTTCATAGTCAATAGCAGCTCTGTTCAAATTGACAGCAGAAAAAATTAAAAGTTCAAATATCAACAAGAGTATGAGAGCCCGAGAAGATATTAAGACCAATAAGCCAACAAAGGGGAAACACTTGAACTTATTTCATTACCTTGGTCAATCCAGCTAAAGTAGACAATAAATATAAATGGAAAAAGGCCAAAAGGCCCAAAACTGCCCCAGACCTTATTGGATTTGGTACAAAAATGTCCTCCATCCATCTATTGAGCCAAAATGACCCTGTTTTCTCTTTTGGCCCCAAAATGCCCTAAAAACTAAGGGACAATTTAAAACAAAACCAGAAAAGACTTGAATTTGGTAAAAGAATGCCCTCCGTTAACCACATATCAAATTATATGACCCACCCATCTCTAAATATCTAACCTACCTATAAGATCAAAACTTGAATTTAATAATAAAACTCCACATCCAATCTCTTTCCTTCTTTCCAATGAGTTTATCTTCTTCTTAGAAAAAAGTAAGTTCGAAATAATTATTTTCTTGGTTATTTGATGTTTAACACCCAGTAGCTGAGATTCCTCATCTCTAGTTCTAGAATTGCCAAAAGAAATTTTCAGCTACTTATATTTTCCACCAAAAAATATTAGTCTTGTGGGGTTTGTTCATTTACTTTTCTTTTTTAAACTTAATTGTTTTTTATAGTGTTTCTCTTGTTCTCTGTAGATAACTGGAATGTGTATTATATGAGTTTCTTGTAGTTATCATTATCATTTCATCTCTTTATATTTTGTATTGATTTTAAATTGGGTTTCTTGGCATGTTGTTCTATTTGGTTGTGTTGTTTTCCGTGCACAGTACATATTAGCTTTTTACATCGACTATCTACGCGCTTCAGTGAATTTCTCAGTTCTTAGCATCATTTGGTTTCTGTAGTACAATTGAATTTGAGTTCTCTTATTTTGGAATAATATTGTTGCAGTTTTGGAACCTTAGGTGTCAGTCTAGTGAATTTTAGTGGTTCTGGAGTTCATTGGACATTATAATCATAATTTTCACAATAAGAAATATAAGAAGAAGATCAAACTTACTTGAAATGAAGGAAATAGATCAAGTGCGGGGTTTTATTATTAAATTCAGGTTTGGATCTTACCGTAGGTTGGATTTTTAGGGATGAGTGGGTCATATAATTTGATATGTGGTTAATAGAGGACCTTTTTAATCAAATCCAATAGATCAGGGTCATATTTGAGCTTTTTCTGTTATGTTTTTAACGGCCCGTTAGTTTTTAGGGCATTTTGGGGCCAAAAGGAAACGCCAGGGGCATTTTTGGCTCAATAGGTGAACGAATGGCATTTTTGTATCAAATCCAAAAGGTCAGGGGCGGTTATGGCCATTTCCAAAAAAATCCATCTAGCTAAACATGGCAGCATAAGGTATTAAATTCCAACTAGCAGATAAACCATACAACTATTTTCAAAAGGTAAATCTGTGAGTGGTCACACGAACAGTTCAAACAGCTATGCAGGAACAAATGCAGACATGTGAGGAGAATGACCAAAATGGCAATATAAAGGCATCCATGTCACAGCACAGCTATTATACTTGTGTCTCATTTTTCCACTGTAATGCCATTAACATTGTAGAAATGCGACTTTGATGCATGATCAGTAGCTTGTCAAATGACGAATTTAAAATGCCTTTGAGCTGCAATATGCCATAAAAAAATGTCATCTCAAATCAAAATTTGGTTTTTCTTTTTTTGAGAATGAAATCAAAGTTTGGCTTTTCTTGCTTTCTTTTATGTTTTATTTTGTTTTACATGCAACGGAAGAAGGATTTAGAAGAAGAGAATCTCTGTCAACCCTCAGCTGAGGTGGAAAATTTGTTAAAAGGTTCTTATCATCACATCTCTCATTAATTGCAGAACCTTCCATTTCACCACTATGGCATCTGTTGTTTTTTTTCTTTCCTAAAATTTGTAAATGCAGCAACTCTTCACTTCTCTGAGACACACTAAGACAGCACTCAGGATTTTTTTTATCATGATAAACTATTTCTTCGGATAGCCGGTTGATTTACTGATGTAAACCTAGATGACTATATATTAGCTGTGTGTCTCATTTAAGATCTGTTTCTGCATCCATACTATCTTCCAGATTTCCATCTTTTTATCTCTTTATCACCGAGCTATCTTTTAGTTACTAAAGCACCCGTTTGTCCCATTGTAAGCATTTATATAAACTACAAAAAAATTATGATAATTGGGGCTACCAAAGCTGCGCAAGTCATGTTACTGAAATCATCCTGATGATTTAGGATATTGCATTGAGACATATCTTCTTCACATAGAGCACCCAAAGGCTCGACCTATTGGTTAATGAAGTGGGTGCAAACCTTGGAGACTACGGATTCAAATCCCAAAAGACAAAAAACACTAGGAAGCAGAGTTACTCCTGTTGGGGTAGAAAGTGCAGGTACCCGGTGGAGAAGTCATAGTGAGCAGGAGCTTGCCCGAGCACCACAGTTAAAGAAAAATAGGCATATCTTCTCCGTATAGGGAGCGCCAAATTAAACACTAAAAGAAAGATCACAATGAATACAAAGAATGTTTATATTGCTTGAATTGGGATATATAAGCGTGTTCCCTCGTTCAAATTCATCTATCTTTTTCTCTATACTGTGCGAATGTTCATTTGTCGTAAAAAAAACATGACATCATACAGGGCAAGAGGTGGTAGTAGGTTACCTTCCTCGTTGAACTTCCTTGCGCATGCTCTCAATTTCCGCTTTGATTACAGGAAACTGCTGCAACTCCGAACGAACCTTGACGAGATCATCCTCCATCTCCTGCAATTTGGCTGTCAGCTCTTTGCGGTCAGCATTTAGGTTCTGAATATCGGTCCTAACCCTAGCCATCTCTACGCTAAGCTCATCGACTGTATGGACTTCGCCCTCCATTCTCCGTGCCTTCTCGTAAATCTCACGCACTTCAGCATCCCTTTCCGCTTTGACCGTTGCAGCGGTGGAAGAGAGATGCCGGAGCTCCTGCTGGACGGCGTCGAGGTCCTGTTTAAGAGCGACGTGCGCGGAGGCGAGACGGTGGTTGTCGAGGAGCAGGGTTTCGATCTCGCGTTCCTGAGCCGCTTCCCGGTCATCAATTAAGACTGGCGGGTGAATACGGGCTTGACCGTGGGTTTGGGTTTCGGGTTGTGGAAAACGGCGGCGAGAATCGTCCGGCAGTTGTGCTGGATAAGGGGCGTGGCGGCGTTTGTTTTTTGTCATGTTCAAAGGCACAGATGGAATCCTCTGATTTCACACTACAAATAGTAAAAATTGCACCGGCATTTAACATGTACCCATTTTTTTTTAAACTTTTAACTTGTACTCACTTTATAAATAAATTGAGCCCCTTTCTCCTTCTCCATCTCCTCCTTCGTTTTCTTCTTCTTTTTTCTTCTGCTGCTGTTGGTGCTGCTATGGAACTTCAGTTCATCGGATGATTACCATAAATATGTTTATCAGATTATTTAAAAATAAAATATAAATAATTACGTAAGTTAGTAGACAATAATTTATGAATATTTCCACATACGTAAGTTAGTAGACAATGATAATTCTGTTCTTTACACGTTTATTGTTTCCAAAATTTATGATTTAGATATTGTTTGCAATCTGATTATTTATCTAGTATGTTAGAAAGCTTTTTCAAAAACATCAGCTTATATAGTACTGAAGATTTTACAAATGAACTAAATAACTTCAGCTCTAGAGCTAAAGTTCGATAGCTACAAAACAAAAACTTCAGCTCTAGAGCTGAATTCGCCAGTTACAAAAAAAAAACTTCAACTCTAGAGCTGAAGTTCGCCAGTTACAAAACAAAAACTTCAGCTCTAGAGCTGAAGTTCGCCAGTTACAAAAACAAAAACTTCAGCTTTAGAGCTGAAGTTCGCCAGTTACACAACAAAAACTTCAGCTCCAGCTCTAGAGCTGAAGTTCGCTAGTTACAAAAACAAAAACTTCAGCTCTAGAGCTGAAGTTCGCCAGTTACAAAAACAAAACCAGTTACAAAACAAAGTTCGCCAGTTACAAAACAAAAAGCAATTACAAACAAAAACTTCAGCAAATAGAGAACAAAACTTCAGCTACTATGCTTAAGTTTAGCAATTACAAACAAAAACTTCAGCACACTTGCTACTTCAGGCCCTTCTACTAGAATGCTGAAGTTTTGCGTGATTGCCTTTGCTACTTCAGCCCCGTACGCTGAAGTTATGCAAAAGAGCGGGTACGCTTGCAATCTTTTTTGCAAAGCGGGCACAAGTTAAAACGTGACACAAAAAGCGGGTATAAATGCAAATGCCCCCTACAAATAGGCTTTTAGCTTTCATTGCCGTGAATTGACTCGACCGGTTTTTCTTTCACTTCCTGAGCCTAAATTTACTTCGCCTTTTGATTTTGGTTTTTTTGGGGTAAACTAGTTTCAATAATTACAAATTTTTGTATACTAGTGTTAGACGCGTAGAGCTGTCAATATGGGCTGGGCCGGGCTAGCCCAGCCCAGCCCACTGGGCTTTATCAATTGATGGGCTGAGCTGGTCTAGCCCACCATTTTGATGGGCCTTATAATGGTCAGCCCACCCCAGCCCTTTGTGGGCCGCGGGCCCCCACAGGCCGGTCCATCATTTTTAAAAATATAATTTTATATTTTTTTTTAAGTTCTGACAAAAAAAAAGATAATTATTTAAAATTTAAAAAATATCTTATTGGAAAAAATTCGCAAAACTTAATTACTTTTTATATTGTTCCAACATATCACAATAAATACTAAAAAAAGGTAAAAGACAAGACTATATTTCATTCACTAAAAGTCAAAACTTAAAACAAACTATTCAAGAGAACGTTCATGATGCTTATGAGATATCCAACACATCATCTTCATCAAACACATTTGAATCCGCTTGTGACAAGGTTATCTTAACATCTTCACTTTCATCTACAATTCATATGCAATATTAATTTGTTAAATATTAAAAATAATTAAATTTTAAAAATTAATAATATTTAAATTTACATAAAAAATATTACAAGTTTGAGTTTGGGAAACCTGTGCAGCCAATTTCGAGTAGTAACAAGTGTTTGGACATTTTCATAATAAATGCAACTTCTGTACTTTGTAAAAACACGCCACCAATGCTAAATGTTGATTCCGATGCTACAATGGTAATAAGAATACTAAGTACATCGCGCACCATCATTAAAAGATCGGGATATTTTCTAGGATGATCCTTCCAATACATGACAACATCCATCTCTTGAAACTTCTCAAGATCAAGTTTTGGTTCCTCTTAGTAAAGATCCAATTCCGACTTTCCATCTCTAAAGGCAGTATACTTTTTATTTTTTATATATTTTAAATAAATATTTTATTAGGCCCACGGCCCGGCCCGGCTCGGCCCGCCCTCAGTCAAGCCTCACGGGTCACGGGCTTACTCGGGCCGGGCTTAAAAGCCTCGTTTTTAAACGGGCTCCAAAAATTCTAGCCCAGCCCTGCTAAATCACGGGCTGGGCTGCCCCAACGGGCCAAGCCCATATTGACGGCTCTATAGACGCGTGTTTCTCATGTAAATAGGTAAATAATCTATACCTATATTTGTTTAACCAAAAGGTGCAACTCTTGGCTCAAATAATTAACTTCATGTATTAAGGGGTTAAACCTAGTTAACGATAATATTTCTAGATACGAGTTATGAAAGTGTGGCTAATGTGGGGCAGAGATGTTAGAAATATAATAATGATGTGTAACAATCATTCCAAGCAATGTGATTAATAATAGAGCATTAAATAACAACGAACAGTAATAAATTGCATTCAAGTAAATAAAGGAATGATTCACCCAATAAAGAAGGAAGTAGATGTTATTCCTCCTAACAATAATGAATGACAGACAAATCTTTGAATGTTCGAATTATCCTCGGATCTGGTGGAAAGATGGAATAATGTAGGTAAGAATCTTGGTAAAAAGGTGTTATTTATATCTTAGTAAGAGAGAGAATCTTTCTGTCAAAATGTGTTCTTACAAATGTATATCACCCCCTTACATTATTGTTCTCCTTTCTATTTATCTAAGACACATTTATAACAAACCTTAATAGTACAAGTGCCAAGTCTATCAAGAGAATATTTTCTTTAATATTCTATTCCTACAACTAGCCGTTACAGCTTTTCCAATAATGCTAGTCCTCCTCAACCCTTGTTGACATCTCGACCACGAATCTCGCTACTTCTTGGTCGACCTCGACTGATGACAGCTTGAAGACTCTTCCTTTTAACGTTATCTTGTCTTAAATACTTTAGGACAGATTTTGACCTATACAGTTAGGCCCTCCGCTTATTAAGGCCGGCCTTGATAAGCGAATTCTGTTTGTCGTGGTCGATAAGGTTGGACGAGTGGGTTGGGTTGCGATGTTTGAGATGAGCTGACAACGTGGCCTTTCGTGAGCCGCAACTTTTAGGGTTATGTCATTTCTGAATCAAAGTGACGTCATGACGTCATGCGTTATTATGGTGCATTTTCCCAATGTGTTACGTCGTTTCGCGTGCGTCTCTTAATTGGATTTGTCGCTTCGGTATAGGTGCTAAGCAATGATGGCATGATTCTCGATTTTGGTGCCTGATCTCTTATAAATAGGAATGTGAAGGAACACACTCGCGTTTTACAGACTTCCCATATCGAAACCTTGTGCCTTCTTCTTCTTATTCCCTTGTTGGGTATCTTCCTTTCCTACTCTAGCGATCCCTCTTGCTTTTAACTCTTCGTTACTTGAATACCCTCTCTTTCATCAGAACTATGGCCAACATATCTTCTTGTCCCAGCGAGGAAAACAACCCGGTGACCTTGGCGATGGTTTTGCCTCTTCACGCAGAGGGCGTCTCTGTTGCCGTCTAGGATGAGAACTTTCCTACGGTGAAGGAGATAGTTCCTCGTTGTGAGAAAGTCATTATTGATTTTACAAAGGCGCCTGAGGCTGAGTCCGAGATCTCCGAGTCGGCGATGAAAGAGGCCGATTTATTTGAGCTTAGGGCTAAATTCGACATTCCCGCTCGCATCGAGTTGGTCCCTGCAAAGTAGGATGTGGTAGAAGTCCACCGCCTCGGGTATTGTGCATTCTACGCCTACCCCTTCCATGTCGGCTACACTCTTTCCCTTCTCCCATTGGCAAAGGAGTTTTACCGTTTCTATGGCGTTTGCCCGGCTCAACTCGCATCGTATATCTACAAGCTCATTAGGATGCTTACTAAGTTTGCGGAGTTGGCCGGGGTCGAGATCACACTTCGGCATTTGATGCATCTCTTCGCCCCTAGTTTTTATAGGCGGACAATGTTAAACCTTCGCCATCAAGGGGGCAAGTTCCTGGTGGTGAAGATGGACGACAAGGTGAACCGTCAATTCTGGCACAATTTTTTCTTCGTTAGAACCGAAGATGTGGTGGCCAATGCCGACGGCCTCCCTATAACTTGGAATTATACTCGTAAGTGTCTAACTTCTCTTTGTTGAGGCAATTGATTTACTTGCTTAGTCGTGGGTTCTGATCTCTTGCTCCTCTCTTATGCAGCCAAGACTACGCCCCCTCATTTGGTCCGGTACATTTCTGATTGGCTCAGCCAGCTCCTCCCTCACATCTTGGGAATTCGTGATTGGCCGGGCTTTTTAAAGAAGTTCGGGCCCGCTCCCTCCCTAACCGCTGAGTTTCTTTGTTTTGTCCTCTTAGCTGCTTACCTCTTATAGTGTCACGACCCAAACTACCATGTCCTGATGGCGCCTATCGTGGTACTAGGCAAGCCGACTCTTTACAAAAAACAACACGATATTTCATTTCAAAGATAAATCCAAGCTATTTAATAATAAAACTTCATAGAGAAATTCTAAACAAGAAAGTGCGGAAAGAAAAGCCCGACATCGAGGTGTCACTAGTCATGAGCATCTACTACAATGTGTCCGAAAATACTAAGACTAACACAGTTTGGAAAGTTGTTTACCTTGAAAATGGTAATTACAATTAGATTTGATTTTATGGTTCTAAAAATACGTGATCTATTTTTAATAGATGCTAGGTAAGAGATAAGAAAATGAGATAAGCGCTTGAGAACAAGGTGACAACCGAATCAATTGGCTGGTAATCGGGGCCTCGAGCTTGTCTATTCGGGGTCTCGAGGTCGAGTCTGAAGTCCTACCGGGGACAGTCGATGGACGAATAACAGCTATGGAAAAATCAATGGCGGCTCTTTATGGCAATAATGAGCAATAAATGAAGAACAATAAA